GCAGGCTACGAAACTGGCAAGCTGGCGCTATTAAACTTGAATACCTGCGATCACTTGGCATCACTTCTGCCGTGGGTCCTATTTCGTTTCCTGGGATGTTGGGTACTGATAAATTGCGTAGACAGGAAGAGAGCGAAGTTGTTGCCCATGCGTTATCTGCACTTGCGTCAATCGCCGAGTGGCCCGAGGGTGCTGCTGCTGTTGTCGGTACCGGCGCGCTCGGCCACCTCGATGGACTCATTAGTTCGCGTAATAATACGTCCGAAAATGCACATGTGAATTACTCGGAAACCTTGCATCCATCGCACCCCAGCGGTTGCTGTCATGGATATCAATGCATGTGCTACGCTGGTTTCGTTCCTGGGGTGCGCCTAATCACCTTTTCCTCTTCTAAATTAATTGGTTTTGGATTAGCGGTGATGACAGTACCATCATTGAGAGTGTGGTGTACACACTTTCTGGGGTGAGCCAATGGTATAATGGGGCACAGGCGGTTGTGAATGCTGGAATCATGGACTTCATACCGGGCCTCCTGGATTCCCCAAGCCTCAGCATTAGGAACCATACCGCCCGTATGGTTGCATGGCTCACACTTTATGGCAGAAGAGGACAAGAAGTGGAGGAATTTCGGATACACAGATGGCATGAAATGTAGCTAGGTAACTTGGTTAAGAATTGCACAGTGGAATGACACGTGGACAGGCCCTCTTGTTGACAACCGCCCACGCATATCGGGTTGGCAGGTTGCGACACACGAGTTCCTGACAAATATCGCCGCGTCCCCTTTACTGTAGTTTAGTTTCATTGAAAAAATAGTATGGAGTTCTAATATGGCTCATTTGCACTGAACAAGTGATCCCCTCGCACCGCCACTAATAAACCGAATCTCTGCTGGATAGGTGCTGGGATGGAGTTTCAAGAGATCTTTAAACACGAGGAAAGATTTCAGTGTTTCACCATCGTCCCTGAGAGACTGCAGAAGCAAGAACCTTAATCAGACAAGTTTCAAGCAACTAGTAAAAAAAATCAGGTCAAAGGATTTAGCAGGCATAAATAAGGTAAACATTTTGATATTTGGCGCGATCCAGGTGGATCTATCTCGGCAACCCAACTAAAGAGTTTGACAACGTCTATGATGTTTGTTCGACAAGCTCGAGGGAGGTAGGAGGCGCCCAATTTCGAAGCTTGGAACTCACAGGTACCGTTTCTGAATAGGCTTGTGTTTTATTTAGTGGGAATAAGCATGCAACGCCGTCATCAAAGGAATTTAAACTGACCGGCGGCACTTCTCGGCTAATTCCCACGGTTCGACACCTGGTGAGATTCACGGAGAATTCATGCTATTGTAGGCTTTGGTACGGTATTATTCGGTCTTCGTCTAGCTATGCTCAGCGCAAAAAATAAATACAACCGTCGTCGCGAACTGCCTTGTGCAATGGAAGAAATCTCATCCGCAGCAGAGGAGCGAGGGCGTCTTTAATTGAATATAACTGTCACAACTCCCAACATGGGTATATACGACATCCGAAGTATTTTTCCTCTGTTTGAGCCACATACTGAGCAATTCACTCAGCCGGCCGACTACCACATTACAGGTCAGCTTATAGCCGATTTCAAAAGTATGTACGGGTTTTACGAAACGGTGATGCTCGATTTGCGTTTACCCATGTTTGCTCCTGCGTCGTCGGCTAGCTTCGGCTAGTCCCACTCCACACCTCAAAGAATCCATACCCAAGTTTTATTCATCATTTTGCAACCACCCAAGGGTACCAAAACATGCAGAATGGTTTCTGTTTAAGAGAGTGTCTGAAAGGACGAAGGAACTCAAATGGTGCATAGACGAGGGCGCCGAGCAAGCGCCGAGGGGTGAACAAGAGAAAACAACCATAAGCACAAATCGAACACCACCGTTTCGTAAAACCCGTACATACGGTTCAACGGAACCAATGATGGCACGCGGCTCTTCATCGCTTGATGGCATCTTCCGTCCAATTGGGCGTACCATCACCGTTACCGCTCTTTCCCTTCGTTCCTCACGCATTTATCTCAGCCCCCGCCATGGATCCATCTTCCCCGGTCTTTCAAACTCTCGGTCAGCCATTATGGCTCGAATCCGCACAACTGAGGCAATATTCACCGTGGGCTCCGTTCGACCAACTCATCTGCGCGATCTCGCGGCTCAGGTCCAGAATGAGCGCCGCCCTTGGGCGACTATGGTTTATAATTCACCAGTGGGAAAGGTTCCGACGGAATTATTGGTGGAGATTTTCTTACTCGCAATTCAGTCCGATCCGGAGACTGGTACAGTCGTGCAACGTCATAGCCTCCCTTTGGTTATCACCCAGTCCACCAAGCTTTCCTCCTTTCCCAGATCTGTTCTTCCTGGCGGTAGATTGTCATAGACTCACCGAAGCTGTTGGCTATAGGCTGGTGGATGTTTGGTTGCGGACGGTTGAGGTTTTCAAACTGATCTCGAGAGAGCGTAGATCAGGAGCACAATGTGTCCGTACAGCTGGCCTTGTTCTTGGGCTGCTCGCTCCTTTGCCATCTAACCGTGGAGCGCAGTGTAGGCTCGGCTCACTATTGTGCACCAGTTCCCTTGGAGGCAACTTACGCACCTCGAACTCAACGAACGAATTCCGCTACTTGCCGTTCGATCTTGCTGCAATGCAGTAATATTTTTTACGCGAAATTGGTCGCAGTTGAATGGACCAATCCCGATGTCGTCACCGCGCAGCCCACCATCCTCCTTCGCTCAGAACACTCATAGTGTAATTTCACCACGTTGTGTTCGGGCATGTCGAACCCTTCACGCTGTTGAGCCTTCCACGCTTGTACACCCTCGAGCTCGTATTGAGCCCCACTACAAGCGCACCATGGCCCACTCAACGACTATCCTCATTCCTGATGCGTGCCCCGAATGTTGTGCGGATTGCCTTGACACACGGTATATTAATCACCCAAGAATTGCTCACCCTCCTTCGACTCACCCAGCACTCACCGCACTCGCTCTGAACGGGTGTCCAAACTGCATCACCGATGAATTTCTCTGGGCGTTTACCTACCGGGAACGGTCCGCTCCTCAGCTAGCGCCACAGCTGCAGGAGCTGCGCCTTCGAAACATTGATGGGCGTCGTTTCGGAGACGATGTTTTCGAGGCCGCGATTGGTCGCGGTGTTGGAAAGACGACACGGTTACACCAAATGTCGCGCGGTTGCGGAGCTTGTTGGTTGTGAAGGTCTTTTCAACGGCGAGGGTGAAACCTCTCAAGATCCGGATGAAAGACCTGAAGGACCGGGGTCTCGAACTAAATCTCAGCTGTTGACTTCGTATGTAAGCGCCGCTCTAGATCTGTCCTGTTAAATTCACTTATACATGCATTCTCTCTGTAGTTACGGACTTTGTAAGAAGTGTTCGAGTGCAGTAGAAGAAACTCAAGCGGAGAATAAATGGCAGAGATGGCGATGGTGGTCAACAAGTGGTTTGAATGGCATATATTTCTCAGATAAGGACTATTTCGGATAACCGAGTCAGTCAATTCTCAAATTTGCACTCTGTCCAACCGCGAGACTGCTCTGGATCGGTCGTCCAGTTATTATTATAATTAACTAGGGAGTACAATCCCCCATGACATTCCACGCCTGGTGCATCAGATAGCAGCTCGCATCAAACCAGTATCAAACCACTCCACTACCTGGGTCTGCAGCACTGCATATGCTTACTGGGGTACGATTCTACCGAGCTATAAATGCACGCTAACGATGGATAGTAATCGCTCAACCCGTGCCTCTACATCCGCATCCAACTTCAATTCCCCGTGCCATGATTCTACCGCGAGCCCTACTCCTTCTCTTCTGCGGCCTCTCCGCTGTCGACGCACGTCCCACGGGCATAGGACAGTCCGGTAAGAGCTAACACTTCATTATCCACGCCGTAGTACATTAATTTACTAATGGAAAATCACAAGTGGGCGGTTTATGGCGGCGGGCAATCCGGCGCTGCAGAGTGCTAATATTCATCCTTATTCGCGGGAAGCGTCGGGTATGTGAACATGAATTTCTCCCCCGGGTATTATTTGATTGATGGAACTTGAAGGAGTTTACTCGGGCGGGTTGGTGTACAAAGGTGAGGACGTGCGTGGCTCGGCATTCGAAGAGGGAAATTCGGAGCGGCAGGCGGAACCGAGGTTAATGTTGGCACCATCGGTCACCGCGTGGTCCCGTCGACAAATGCTCATTCCTACTCCGGGAGGTCCTAACGAAGGGAACTTTGTGAATTGATTCCGTAGGGGCAGTTCGAGGATGAAACTCAACGGGGTCGCATATTTACACCCGCGAGACCTCTGATACGGATATTAATTCTGACTATGTGTGGGGCACAGCAGGAAACTCTCTCAATGTCATAGGACCCTGGTTCCTGTGAAATGCATATTTCTTGAAATTTAGTACGCCAGGTTTCAGCTGTTCCTAAGTAACATTTATGTTCATCAACACTACCCTGTTCCGAGCGTTGTTCCGAGGCGAGAGTTACTTCGGACTGCGGCGGTTGACAATATCTTTGGGTAAGCCTCGAGGGAGCTAGGTTTCGAAGCTTGAATCTCATAGGTACCGTTTCTAAATATATGCGATTTATCTGGTGCGAATAAGCGTGCAACGCTGTCACCAAAGGAATCTAAACGGACCGGCGGAACTTCCCGAGCGTGTTCCCACAGTTCGACACTTTTGCGGATTCCGGGTGAGATTCACTGAGTATGGGCTCCGTGTCATACCTATTCGATCTTGGGGATTATTCAGAGCATTTTATGGAGGTAAAATAAGTTTGAATGAGGACTTTGAATGGAGCAATGAAATTTCAGATGGATGGACGTACATCGGACTATCCGTGCCGGCTGCTGAAGTTTCAAGATTCCTGGACCACTAGAAAGTAATATACGAGCTACAAGATAGCCCGGGAAAAGCGAGAAATGAAATAAAACAAAAAGGGATGTCAATCTAGGATTATGCCTCTGGTGGGATTCGAACCCACTGCTACTCAAATAGATGGACATCCGACTGAATTTTTCTGAGGCGATCTACCTTGATCCACAGAGGCCTGGTACCCTATGCTCTTAGTTCTATAGCTACAAGCATTTATGATGAGTATAATAAGAATGGGGAACGCGTGAGATTCGGATCCGAGGACAAATTGATGCGGTTTGAATTTGGTAGTACATTATGTTTCAAGACACAAAGATTGTCGTCGAATGAAGCTATTAAAACAAAAAACAAAACAGATACCTAGCGCATGCCTCTGGTGGGATTCGAACCCACGTCTCCCCATAAGATATTCTTGTCCAGACAACATGGTTACGGGGTGATCTCCAACTGATCCATAGAGGCGTGATGGATTCCAGACAAACATGACCGGCAGACACGGTTGCATGTAAGGGAAATTCGAAGGGTTAAAAATGAAATAATGCAACACGAGAAAAAAAACGCTGCAGCGATACACGCGTCCGGTGGGATTCGAACCGACGTCAGGACGGGCGATCTACCGCTGATCCACGGAAGCTTGGCCCTTCATGGTTCCTCATCCAATTAATCGGTGTCCCTGAAATAATGAGCAAAGGCAAAGTAGGCGGCTCTAAATTCGAGGAATTATAAGGTTGTTACGATGGATGGTTGAACTTTGAATCATGTTTGAGTAGACTGGACAGTATTCAAAATAAAACAATTGAAGGAAGAAAAAAAAAACGACTTCCCTTGCTATGCCTCCGGTGGGAGTCGAACCCATGTTTCCTCATGAACTATTAACTGATCATAAGCTGAGGTGATTTAACCGCTCATCTGTGGAGGCATGTTCATTAACCTAAGGACGGCAGGATTAAAGAAATGCATAGAAGGCTACTCCGTCAAAAGATACGCTGCTAAGGTCGCTTGGTTGTCAATGGATATTACGGACGAACTGGAGGGAAAGAAGAAAAGAAACAAACACGTTTCAAGGTGAAGCCGCTGCTGGGAGTCGAACCCACCTCAAAATCCTCGGCACAGCTTTGAGGCGATTGAGGCGGACAACTACTGAGCTCCGGAGGCATTCAGCTCTGTGTTGTGGGAAGGGACAGGTTAGAGGTAGGCCACAAATCCAGGGACCGGGATTCGAATGGCCAGAAGCTGAACGATATGATTTCGGCAGAAGGTGGGCTCTGAGTCAAGCATTCCAAGAGACATGGTCGAGTGATTAGGAGGGTGGATTCTCAAATGAGTCGAGTCGCACACCGTCCGAGTCGTGCACGAACACGAGCGCGCCGCGGCCGCGTCAAGAGAAGCCACCGGCGAATGAGACTGAGCAGCAAGCCTAAAACAGAAGTACCGTGCAAGTAACCTAGGTTCCAATGGACCAGAATGAGGCTTGAGTAGGCCCGAGTGAAGGAGATTGCGGAGGACCGAGATGCGAAACGGGGTGATGGGTGTCTACCGCCAGTCTCGAGTAAGAGCCTGGGTGAATTTTGGGTGACTAGTAGTATACAGAGCATCTGATATGCTGAGCTATCGAACGTTGAAGGATACGCCTCCGATAGAAACGCCGGGATGAACGTGGAGGGAGGAAGAGAGTTCGGTGGCTAGAAAAGGAAATGACTTTTGATCCCTCCATTCGCTCCTCGACGACTTGTCGACGACAACCATCTTTCTCAACACCATGCCCGACGGCGACCCCGCTGCCCGCCGCCCCGTTTGCGCCGCCGCCGGATGTCCGCGCCGCCTCTGCGCGCCGCCCCGCGCCCTCCCGCCCGCTGTCCTTGAAGCACTGGACTTGTCCCCGACCTCCCTACTCAGGCCCTTCCCTCCCTCGGCTTCCTGGTACTCTAGATCTCCTACCTCGCAGACCTCGAGCTCGAGCGCCGCCTCCTCCTCTTCAAATCCGCCGATACATAGTGCACTCTATACGCACTGCACCTCTTGTCACTAGTGCTTTACGGAGCCGCTTCTACGGTCCGCAGCGGCATCGCGATCGTGCTCACCGCACCGCTGAAAATGCGCCCTCATGCCGTTTACGGGTGCTTGTTTGCTTTCTTATTATTCCCTTCCTTATCTCCTCAACGCTTACACACCGCAGGCTCGTGCCTCCTGCTGCCTGCCCCACGGGATCGTTCCTCCCGCTTTTTGTTTTTTGGGATGGTTATTCTGGGATTCAGTGGTGCGTGTCGAGTTATTCAATACCCCGCCATCTTGTTTCTTTTTGGCGGTTTTTGCTTGTGTGCCCGGAGGAGGCGGGAAGCGCAGTACACATGTATTTGTGCCCGGGGATTGGCGCGTATGCTGTCTACGTCCCGGCCCTTCTTTCGTTCTTTCTCTCGTGTTGTCATGCTCGCTCGATGGAGGGATGTCGGGAGCCGATCGGTATACGTATTCCTCTCCCCGTCCCTATCCGAGTTGGTGGGACAGAGGGCGGGAATGGCGAGGGGGTGGGGTGCGGAGCGAGGGAGGTGATAGGCGGGCGAAACTGGGGCCGCGTGTAGGTACACTTACAGCTAGCGGAACGGCCCGTCCGAATCGCGCGCTCGCGATCGTTTTGAATGGAATCGCGTTCGGCGTGGAGTGGAGCCGCGCGCTCACCGCGCCCCCTCTTCGTCCTCGCAGTTCAGACGCCTCGCCTTCGTTCTCTTTCGCGCTACCCGAGCTTCGGGTCGCTGGCAATATTTGATTCTTCCTCATTCCCGCTTGTTTTTTAAATAAAAAAATTGCTGTGATGACAGCTCCGTCGCGACCCTACGGCCGAGACGGGCCTCGTTGGGCCCGAGCCTCGTATATTCTGCAGATAGCCTCTCCCCCGCATATTTGACCTCCTTTGTCCATCAATTTATTATTTTTCCCCTTGCTTTGCCTAATTGCCTTGTTCTTCTTTCTTTTTTTCTTCGCATGGCGAAACAGCTTGGGGAGTGTGCGGATATATTGAAGAGAATATATGTAGAGAGAAATGGAGGAGGGGCTTCCAAAAAGCTTCCAAAGTAGATGGCAGTCCTTGCTGTATCATTTTTCGGTGCACGTACTACTCCGGGTGTCGACCTCCAATTTGCATTTTTAGATGCCGAGGCATGATTCAGCGCCGATTTAAGCCAAGATGACTGTTACACTGCCAACAGAATTTTTCAGTGCGCCCGTATGTATCGCAAATATCCGACGGCACCGGTAGACAGAAGTGGCTGTGCACATTGATCTTGCTTCTGACTGCCATGACCTCCAGCTCTGGCGCTGGATCTATGCTCACACTGTCTTCTCTTCCGACCGAGCTTCTCGTAGCCATCGTTGGCGCGGGACAAGAGGGTCGCGCCGCAGATTCAAAGTCTACGGATTTTAAATCAGAATGGGCGTGGTCCCATGTTTCCCGCCTCTTTCGCGACGTTGTTGTCGGGTCCCCTGAGCTCTGGACGCTCGTCGACGTCAACTGTGATGCCGATGGATCGGACGAAATCCTCAAACTTTACATGGAGCGTTCCAGAGCATGTCTCATATCGGCAACCTTACGCGGATCCAACAAGGGCATCGCCTATTACTATAAGCTGCTCGCAGAGCGGTTCAGCCAGATTGTCCCACACATGGATCGTATATGGAGATTAAGGATTGTGTTCCGCACAGAGTGGGGAGGAGACGTGCTGGCCTCCTTCCGCGATGTGGCAGCTCCCAATCTACAGCACCTCGAGATCACAAACGAAATCCAGGACTACGATGATTATTGGATCACCGTTGAAATGTTTTCGTCCGGAGCCCCGAGGTTAGGCTTTCTCAAAATGAATGGCATTAAACTTCACGTGCAGGCGGCGAGTCAGTGGACGACATCTCTTACACATCTGGAAGTATTGGGAGGTTACCACTCGGTCGACTGGACCAATAACAACTTTCTTACCGCAATCGCGACACAATGCCCGTTGTTGGTCCATCTACATCTCGACCTGAGCCATATCTCCCCCCCATTGGAGCGCCGGTTCGACCTCCCTGCTCTGGAATTCCTCCACATCTTGGTCTTGGATGGCGAAGACGAGGCTTATCTATTGGAAATGATCGATCTTTTTGACACCCCCGCGTTGACCGAATTCATCATCGACGGCACCCACGGCGACCAGATATTTGCCATCTTCAATACGACGAGTTTCCCTCACTCGTCCTTCCCTGCCCTGACCTCCTTGTCCTTCATCAACAATGATTCGTGTACATGTGAATCGGATATCCCCTTCTCGAGCACAATATCGTCTCCCCCGCTCGCGCTCTTCCCCGCCCTCTCTTCGCTGACGTTGGGCAACCAATGCTTCACGCGAGAGTTGATCAACGACATCCTAGGCCCGTCTTCGCAGCCTTGGCCACAGCTCGAAACCATCACGCTGTGTCCGAGGGAGGATTCGTTTGACGCCGTGGGCGACGCCCTCAGGGACGCGGGGAATTCGAAACGCCAGCACGGACAGCCGGTTCCCGCGATCAGGCTTTTCCGGGCTCTAGAAGACTTGCTGGGGAATGAGCGGAGCCGGAAATTTTGTTTTGACTTTAGAATTTAGTTCCAGAGCACACCACACAAAAGCTGCGACGGATAATCGGGCCTGTATTCCCTGCTATCTTTAATTACTCTTTCAGAAATTAATGGCTAAATGGGCTCGTTGAGTCCGGTATGCGATATGCGAGTTTAGTATCAAACACTTCCAGCGAGATGGTATAGGTCGCCCTGACGAAGACGGGTCGCATTGGTCCGGTTGCAACTCCATCTACTAGCGGCGTCGGAACCACATACCGTGCGCCGGAGTGAGTGCGAGAGCAATATCCTCCCTGCCATTAGGCGGCGCACACCGTGGATTCATCTGTTGAAAGCAAGCCACCTCAGAAAAAATTGTGTTCGACTTCAATGGACGGGGAGGGGAGCCTTACTATTTAACTTAGAAATCTGGTGAGCGCAAACGTGGTGAACTGCTTGCACTGCTACTCGACGAGCACTTCGGTGTATATACTTATACGACCCTTTGATGTCATGAAACGCGCGATAGGTGGAAGGACGAAAGGTGAGTTTTATTTAATTTTTATTCTGATTTGGTTAGAGGAGAGATCGGGGATGGTGGCCGTCCTAACCTGGAT